TTTTTTTTTTTTTTTTTTTTGCTTCCTTGTACTTCAAATAGTAATTTACCCCTGGGAGAAGCGAGTTGTTTTGCTGCAAATGTTTCATTTCAAAGACCTACACTAGATGAGATCAAAGATTGCATCAGTTATATTCAAATTATCTAGGAAAGGAGAGGTCAGGGGGATAAATTTCTAGTTTAGCCACTTACCAGCTGTGTGACTTTGGGCAAATTAATTGACCTTTCTGAGCTTTAGTGTCTTATTCTGTAACATGTGAATAACATTTTGTTCCTCGGGGGCTGTGAGGATTAAATGAGGCAATACATGGGAAAGTGCTCAGCATAGTGCTTGGTACAGTCACCCTAAGTGCTTGATGATGGATAGATGCTTGTGGTGACTTGATATAAGAGATCCAAGAAAAGGCTTCCTTGACCATTCAAATCTTGTTCTTTCCTTTTGTGGTTTATGAGGTTATATGTCATTAGTAAGAGTATTAAGGGGATATTATATATCATCATTGGTATTGTATTGGTATTTGATTTTTTTTCTCTCTACAAAATTCAAAATTGAGATTTAGTGGGTAAAGCAGAAGTATTGGACCTGGGTTCAAATCCTGCCTCTGCAACTCACTAGCTATGTGACCTTGGGAAAGTCACTTAACCTCTCTGATCCTCATCCATAAAATGGGAACAACAGTACCATTTCACGAGTGGATTGTGGGTTAGTTAAAACAATAGATGAGAGTTTGCTTAGGTAGGGCCTGCCTAGCTTACATGTTAGCATCCCCATCTCTCTTTTTCTGATAGTACAACAAGCTTACCAGCCTCTGGTTTTCAGAGTCTCTGCCCAGTGGTCTTGGCCCTCTCCCATCACACCTGCTAAAAGTTGGCACACGATAGGAACCGATGAAGTTCTTGGAACAGACCCATCTGCCCTGTACCTGGCCCTTGGCAGCCTGGCCCAGTGCCCCATCAGTCCCTGCTCCCAGAGAACAGGTTCTTGTGGCCTCTCCACCGCCTCTCCCTGCCTCACCTCCCAGCTCCTGTAACTCAGCCTTGGCATCGTCAGGGCTGCCGCTCCCACTGCCAACTGCCTCCATTCTTGGTAGTCGCACTTTTTAGTTTCCAAGAAATCTGGTTGCAGTAATGTGCTATTAAGACATTTTCTGGAGAGCCCAGCCAGGCGTGGCTTAGCAGTTGAGCATCGACCTAGGATCTAGGAGATCGCAGTTCGATTCCCGGTCAGGGCACAGGCCCGGGTTGGGGGCTCGATCCCCAGTCAGGGGTGTGCAGGAGGCAGATCAATGACGACTCTCTCATCATTGATGTTTCTATCTCTCTCCCTCTCTCTCCCTTCCTCTCTCTGAACCCAATAAAAACATATTTTTTAGAAAGACATCTTCTGGAGAAAGGAAGGGAGACTTGCACTTTCTCATTTGGAGGACAGAGTGCTAGTTTCAAACTTTTTACTTTCTCCCTTTGCTGAAACAAAGCAAGATCAGGACTAGTTAAAAGCTATTTTTATCCAGGTATACATCCCTGTTTTATGCAGGTCTAGTTGGAGTTAGCATTGACTAGTAACCTGGAGTTCTGGCCAAGAAAGAGATAAACAGTTGAGTATAAAAAAAAGCCATCGATATGTCCCATTATCTTAACTCTCTGCTAATAGAATAAAATCTTTAGGAATTCCCTTTTCATTTTATGATCAAATAGAAGACAACGAAAGCTGGTTTCTTCATGCCTCAAAATAAGATTAGTGTTGGGTTTTAACTGGACTTTACTTTCAAAGGGCAACATGATTAATTACATTACATAATCAATTCAGAAGCTTTCTTTGCTATCTAAAGCAACTGTAGAAAATTAAGAATGAATTTAAATATGTTTTCTAATATCATGGCTTTGTATGGGTTGGCAAGCTATGTGTGTGAGTGTGTGTGTGTTTATGTGTGTGAGAGAGAGACTAGCATATTTCTTCACCTCTCTGAGTTTTAGTTTCCTCTCCTATGTAATGGAAGCAATAACAACTCCCCCTCAGGGTTGTGTAAAGACGAAATGAGATCGTGTATATGATTTATATAAAAGCATAGTGATTCCTTAGTTTAGTGCAATTGTGGCAACCTCGAGTAAGAAGAGCTAACATTTCCCAGCCACCAAGTATGTATCGGAAAGATAAAAGAGCTGGGACAGTAAAGGGACTTCTCGGGGTTATGACTGTAAGTTGTGTGTATCATTACACACTTAGATCCATCAAGCTGCCTTTCACTCAGGGATCAGTGGGACTGGAGGTTGGGGCTGCCCTCTGTGCCTCAGCAACATGCTGAGCTAAAAAGCCCTGCGGTTAGCCTGGCAACTCAAACACCCTCTATAATTTTATCACTATACCAAAAAGAAGGGGAAACGAGTTTCAAGCAAATGACTTGTGCCCAAAACTTTTTTTTTAACAAGAACAAATCTATAAGTGGGGACCACCTGAACTTAGACATTTGGTTATTTTCTCCTGAGTGGTTTTTGTCACAGCTAGTACACATCTTGGGGTGGGAGTGCTATTGGCACCTGGTGGGTAGAGGCCAGGGATGCTGCTCAACACCTGCAGTGCACAAAACAGCCTCCACAACAGAGAATTACCAAGCCCAAAATGTCAGTAGTGCCAAAGGCTGAGAAACTCTGGTCTATATATACATTTGGATATAGATTAAATTTTTACAAAATTTGGATGATCTTTTACATGCTAATACCACGGGCATCTTTCCATATCCATATATATTTAGTATGTCTATCTTGAAACTATTTATGGATGCACAATATTCCATTGTTCATGAGATGGGGATTATGTCATATTCTATTTAGCTACCCTCCGTTGTGGGACATTGAGGTCGTTTTCTCTTCGCTATATGCGACAATACTATTAGGAATTTTTTTAACCTACATCTTTGTGCACTGGTCCCATTATTTTCTTAGAATGAATCATAAAATATGAGCTTGTTCAGCCAAAGGAATAGGAAGCTGGCATCAACCTATACTCACACCAATGAGACTCTAGTGTGCCTGTTTGCCTACAACATCACTGGCACTGGGCTTTCCCATTTTTAAAAAATCCTCAGTGTTTTTGTGGCGCCCAGGTCTCGCCAGACTTAGTGTTCTGATGTGGTCTGGCTGGGATGGGGTTGAGGTCCTGGGACTGCCTCTGTTGGGAACATTGGGTGTCTGTTAGGGTAGAATTCTCGCTATATCTATTGTCACCAGGGATTCTCATTTTCTTTGTTTCCTGCAGGATCCAGACATATCAGCCAGGCTGCAGCCAAAGTTGATGTTGAATTTGATTATGACGGACCTCTGATGAAGACAGAAGTCCCAGGGCCTAGATCTCGGGTGAGTTGAGCACACCTGAATGGGAGTTTTGGAAAAGAGCAGAAGGAATCAATGAGGCAAGAACATAGCAGAACTTAGGAACTGTATTCTTAGCTGCTTTCAGTGGTTTTACCACTAGAAACCTGGGACGTTAAATGAGGCCATTCTGCCATAAGAAGTCAAAGAAGGCTTCTCAGAGGAGGTATATCAGTGTCTGCTACCACAATAATGCTGCATAACAATTGCAAAACCTCAGTAGCATGCAGATTGTTCATGCATCTAGAGGTAACTGGGAATTGGCTAGGCAGCTCTATTGGGCCCATCTACATGCCTGTGAATGACTGGCCATCATTTGGTCTAGGCCGGGCTTTACTTGGTCACTGCAGTGACTTGGCTCTGCTCCATGTGTCTCTCATCCTCCAGCAAGCTGGGCTGGGCTTGTCCTCATGGTGATGGTAGAGGAGAGCATGCTGTAGGTCTTTTGAGGCCCAAGTCTAACCCTGGCCCACCATCATTTCTACCTTGTTCTGTTGGCCAAAGTAAATCAAGGGCTGGGGCAGAGCATCCTACCAACAGTGGAAGAACATGGCAATGCTATATGGCACAGGGCATGGATAGCAAATAACCTTGAGCTTGACCTTGAAGGACAAAAGGGAGAAATTTGACAAAGGAATGCATTTTGTTCCAGGCAAGGGGAATAGTATGTGGAAAGGCATGCGGGGTGACAGTGCATGGCATATGAGAGACAGAGGATAGCTCTGAATCCCTGGAGCAAATGTCAGTGTGTGAGAATGAAGAGACACAAGTTGAGTGATGAGGGAGATTGGAACTTCTATTCAAAGATGCCACAAAATCTGCATATGACACATTTTGGAGGGCTGACTAACCTTGATTCTCTAAAGTGATATGCAATACTGTTCCTAATGTTTGCACCTAAAAAATAACAGTGTAAACATTTTCCATACAAATTAAATGTTTTTCTTTACATATTTTGCAGATTTTGTCCAGTGTCATTTTTTACTGTCAAAAGATGCCTGTTTTGTCACTGCAGCTATTTATACATCCAGAAATCTTTGCACTGATAAATGATTGTAGTTATTATGGAGAGTGCCTGCTAACAAAAGGAGAGCCTTTCCCATACATATTTCTATTGGGAAGCCGTAGATTTTAATTTAATAGTGAAATACTTTTGGAATAATATTTAATATTTTTGTCATTAATATTTTCTATTTTACTGTGGAAATATATAATTCTAATTGCCAAAGTATGACACTAATGCTAGAGTATATTTTATGTTAAATCATTTTTAGAGGTTAAATCTTTATAATATTAAAGTAGCCGGTATAGTATAATTCCCAGGCTCTATATGGAATTGCACACTGGTTTATGGAATGTTCGGATTATAATTATAAATGGGTCTTTGTGTGCAAATTTATATTTCAGTTGATTTTATTTTCCTAACACGATGCTAAAGCCCTTTTTTCCTAAATAAAAAGAAAACCCATGCTTTTATGGACACTAGGTAAATGCCTTCAGCTTAAATTTTTTGGTTAAATCTTAATTTATTTGACTATCTTCCAAGTGTCTAATTCTTCAGTCTGCCTGTTATACTGGTCATTTAACTGTCAGTAGTTTCCCACCAACCATTTATATTAAGCAATTTAAAATGTTTATATANAAGTGTCTAATTCTTCAGTCTGCCTGTTATACTGGTCATTTAACTATCAGGAGTAGTTTCCCACCAACCATTTATATTAAGCAATTTAAAATGTTTATATAATGCTGTTGACTAATTAACTATGAAGTTATTGGCATGAAGGGGGAAGCAGGCCCAAGACTTGGAAAGACATGAAAGATTTTAAGCTACTTTGGAAGAGCGTGTTCTTGTCATAATGCTCTTGCCTCTCTTGCCCGCAGGAGTTAATGAAACAGCTGAATATAATTCAGGTAAGTGCGAATGAGAGAGCTTTCCTTCCATTGCTTCTCTGTTACAAGTTGCTGAGGGGCACAGATGCTTACTCTTTGCTGGCTCTGTTCAGAAAAGCAAATGCAGCTGACTTATTCTGAACCTTTTTTCCCTAATTTTCCTTGGGCTTTTTTCTTTGACTCCTTGGTTATTTGTGTGTTGTTTAACTTCCACATTTTGGTGAACTTCTCCAGTTTCTTTCTATCACTGATTTCCAATTTCATTGCATTGTGGTTAGAAAACATTTTGTGTGATTTCAGTTCTNTGGTTATTTGTGTGTCGTTTAACTTCCACATTTTGGTGAACTTCTCCAGTTTCTATCACTGATTTCCAATTTCATTGCATTGTGGTTAGAAAACATTTTGTGTGATTTCAGTTCTTTTGAATTTCTTGAGCCCTTTCATGGCCAAACATATGGTCTCTCCTGGAAAATGCTCCATGTGCACTTGAGAGGAATGTGTACTGTCCAGTTGTTGGGGGGGCTGTTCTGTGGATGTTTGTGAGATCTATTGGTTTGGAGTGTTGTTCAAACCTTGTTTGTCTTCCATTCCGCCTCCTGTTCTATCCATCACTGAAAGCCATGTATTGAAAACTCCAGTACATAGACAACTTTCTTATAGAACTGTTTTTCCCCTTAAATTCTGTCTGATTTTGCTTCACATATTTTGGGACTCTGTTATTAGGTACTTGTATGTTTATAATTGTTGTATTTTCATAGTGGACTGGCTCTTTACCATCATAAAATGCCTCTCTTTACTTCTAGGAACTTTTTTATTTTTACAGTGGATTTTGTTTGATAGTAGCATAAACCATTCCAGCTTTCTTATGATTGCTGTGAGAGTCATGTATCTTTTTTCAGCCTTTTTCTTTTAACCTATTTGTATTCTTGCAACTCAGGTATGTTACATGTCAGCAGTTTATGGTTGAATCTTTTTAGTGCAGTCTGATGGTTTCTGACTTTTGATTAAATTGTTCAGTCCATCCACAATTTAATGTTATTATTGATATGGCTGTCTGTACATCTTCCAGTTTACATTTTTTTCTCTTTGCTCATATATTTTTTGTTCCTCTGTTCCTAGTTTACTTTTTTTTTTGCATTGAGCGAGTAACTTCTAGTGTAACTTTTTCATTTCATTCATAATTACTATATATTTTTTTAGTTTTCTTAGTGCTCCAAGGCTTACCATATACATCTTATCAGAATCATCTTCAGAGATATAGATCAACCTTCTTGTTGTGATGTGTGGAACACATACAGAAAACTTTACATGATACAAATTCATAGCTTAACTATTATAAAGCAAATCACCGATGAAATTATCCCCGGGGGCCAGAAATGTGATATTGCCAGCACCCATAGAGACCTTCCATATGTCCATAGAATGGTTAGCTCATGCTTCTATTCACTAATTCAAGCTTGATCCTAATAGACTGAGAATCTAGGGAGTTGCAGTGAGCCTGACTCAGTCTGTCTTTTCCCGAAGAATGCAGAGGCTGTGCATTTCTTCTGCAATTATGAAGAGAGCCGAGGCAACTACCTGGTCGATGTGGATGGCAACCGAATGTTGGATCTCTATTCCCAGATCTCCTCTGTCCCTATAGGTAAGAGCTGGAGAATCAGCCCTTGAATGTAACTTCCTCTCTCTCTTAGTCGTGGCCACCCAGACTCCAGAAGTCCCTTCCAGCAGGCACGTCCCTGCACGTTACCAGACACTTCCCTCAAGGGCAGAGAAGAGGAAAGGGTCATTCATAGAGGGTGTATTACTAGGGACTCTACATGTCTTCTCTCATTTACTCCTCCCCAAAGCCTACAAAGTAGGTATGTATTAGTATCTGGTTTTGCAGATAGAGAAGCAAAGCTTGGACAAGCTCTGCAGCTTACAGAGGGAGCTGAGCCAGGCTGTGAACCAAGGTCTGTGCGACCGGAGTTTGATGTCAGCTGCCTTGGCTTAGGTTTCCCAAAAGAGCCCGAGGCAGGGATTCTGTGCATGTAGTTTATTAAGGGAGAGCTCTCAGCAGAAAAGGGAGGGAGGGAAACAAACAGGGCAGGGGGACAAGCTAAGAGGGATGAGCTGTCAGCCAGAGACCAACCACTGCCCAGTCCCCCACGGCACACTTGGGCATGCATTGTGCCCCGGAGTTGGTCCCAGCCTGGCCTTTTTGTACCCCTGTGCCAGTCAGTCACTGCCTGCCAGCCTCCAGAGGCAGAGCCTGTCATCTCTGGGGTGAAGTGGCTTCCAGTCTCCAAGGGCAATATTCCAGAGAAGGAGGCAGCTGGAGCCATTATCAGTCGCATGCACAGCAGCTGGGAGAGGGTACCGTTTGCAGCGAAGGTGCCCTAGTGGGGCACCAGCAGCATCTGCCTCCCCAGGCTCATCTTCTGGTCGCACAGAGCGTGACTCCTTGCTATAGGAAGGCACACAGGTGACAGGATGGATGAGCAGCTCGGAAGTTGATGTTTCTTTGGTCTATGGATTCCCCTTCGATCACTGGGATGTAGGTCGAGCGTTCCAGCAAGACCTGTCCCTTCATGGATAAGCTGGAACGTCCTTAGCTCCCCAGCAGCACCTCCCACTCCAGCAGCCTGGGGCCTTTCCCCTGAGGCCCCGAATCAGGTCTCCACTCCTCTGCTTCCCCATCCCAACCTGTTTATTTCCAATTAAGGTGCAATTAGACAGTAAGTGAATGACTCATTCTTTGAGTCCCATCGTTCTCCTTGGCCTTGGAAGGCATTTTGGATGCTAAGATTTACAGACCCCTATCTCCATTTTGTGTTCAAGTGAAAGGAATTAGATCTTGAGGGATCGTGGGTTTGAATCCTCGCTCCACCATGTGTTAGCCGTGGGACTGTGGGCTGACTCCTGCATCCTTCCCCTCCCCGCCGGGGCTCCCTCCCTTGGAATCCCCAGCCAGCCAGTGTGGGGGGCGGGGAGCAGAGATCAGGCCAGCAGCCATTGCTCAAAGACTAGAAGTTCATAGTTTCTCTCTGGCCACCTTTTTTCCCATATCTGTAGTCTTTGAGATAATTTTTTAAACTAATAATTATTGTGAATTTGCTATATGCCTAGCATATTGCTAAGAGTCTTACATGTTATCTCATTAAATCCCTACAACAGTCCTGTAATATTGGATCTTTTAGCATCACCCCCCATTTACTGATGGGGAGCCAGCTTTCGAGAAGGTGTAGGGTTTGCCCAGTGTGTCCAGGAAGACAAAGGATTTGAGCCAACGACTCTCTGCCTCCTAAGCTCCCTTCTGTGGTAGCAGCCTCCCAGACAGCCACCCCTGCCCTGCTGTAGGGGCCATCCCTGGCTTCCAAAGCCCAGGGGTAGGACTTCCCCGGTCAGAGGGGCTGGCTCTGCTTTTATCTGTCCTTCTGAAGCCAGTAGACAAGCTGGAGCTGTGATCCTCCCTGCACCTGTTCACCTACTGAGGCAAAGAAGTCATACCCATCCAAGGCAGTGTGAGAAAGAGCCAGAGCTGAGGGACCTCCAGCCAGAAAACGGGGGGAAACCCACAGGGTGTTCCTTTCTTGAGTAATGAGCACTTTCCAGCCTTGGGCCCAGCACGCCTTGGATTGGCATGGGGAGGGGCGAGTCCGGTGAGGGAAGACTGCTAACAACCCTTTCCCCTTGGTCCACCCCTCCTCCCCCGAACTCCCCCAGTCCATGCTCCCTGCAGCAGGCAGAGTGAAACCAGGGGCTTTTCACATCTGTTCACTTTTGATTCCATGGGGGAGAAATTCCCCCCGGGGGGATGCTGGGTCTTTAATACAGGTCTAAACTTGCTAATCTCTTATCTGGACGCCGCAGACCCCATGCTCAGAGATGGGCAGGCATCTCACCATAGTGCTATAGTCTCCTTTCAGAGTAAACCTATTTAAATTAAAAAGTGAATTGATTGAAAGAAAAGAAGGTGTGCATGATAAAAATTGTGGTGCTTGAAGACTGAGAGTTTTTCTCCAAGTTCTACTTCCTGCTCTAAGATTCATGATGAGTCTTTTCTCATATATGAGCTCTTGCCATGTCGCTGGGTCTCTGCATTACTCATGCATTCAACTAGTATCTATTGAACTGAACACTTTCCACTGCATTTGAGGGTCTTACAATCTGGTCCCCTGACCTCAATACCTCCCACAAACTTGGAGGAAAGCCAGGTTTGATCAGAAATGATCAAAAAGCCTCAGAAATTATCAGAAAGCCTCCTGCACATGGTAGATGTTCAATAAATGGAAGTAAAGGCTTTGAACCCAGGACATCTGGCCGCAGTTCTGGTTAGTCCTGTTTTACACCTCCCTCCTTTACAATACAAGCTTCCATTTATTGAGCATCTGCTATGTGCAAGGGGCTTTCTCTTCATCATTGCTAACCCTGGTAACAATTGATCTGCTACTGATGGACTTTAGGTTGCTTTCAAGCCTAGGGATTGGAGTGGCACGATTAAGATATGTAGGCATTGGCCATTATACACACAAGATAAATTCATAGAAGAGTAATTGCTGAATCAAAGGGTATCTTAAACCTTGTTGTGGAGTGTCAGGCCCAGGCCGGGCAGTAAATGCAGCGGGACTCTGGGAATGAGCAGATGTGTGAAGGCAGAACCATCGGATACGCTGGTCACAGATTGCAGGTTGTACCACTCACTCACTTGGCTCCCGACCAAACTTACATTGCAATTTGACTTGATCTATAGGCACTGGGAGAGAAATCTAAGACCACATTTGTGATTCATCACGCCAGCCTGGGGCACCCCTCCCAGCCCTTGAAGTTCGCTTTCGCCTGCACTCACCTCCTATGTCTGTCTAGCTCTGTAGGTCTCAAACCTGATTCCCAGAATTACCTAAAGGACTTACTGAAGATTTCTGGGACATGCCCTGAAAGATTCCGAGTCAGAGGGTCTGGGTGGGCCCAAGAATTGGGTCTTTTTGTCTACAAAGGATAAAAAGACCCCTTGGTGTGAGAAGAGGTTGGAAAGGAGAGAAGGGGCAGGTGATGAGGAAGGGGCTCGGGACACTCAGCTGTGATATTTGTCTCTAACCATATCCCCATCCCCAGGTTACAGCCATCCAGCGCTCATGAAACTCATCCAGCAGCCTCAGAATGCGGTAAGTCCCTGGGTTAAACAGGGTAAAACCCAAATGTGTTCATGGCAGTTCAGAGGATCATTGGGGCACCTTTGGAAATAGTCCACTCATTCATTCCATGAGTATCTATGGAGCACATACTACGTGCTAGGCGCTTGGAATACCGTAGTGAGGAAAACAGCACCCCACTCCCATGGAGGCAGCCAGTTAATTTAATTCTCTACACGGAGGTGGAGAATTCCAACCAGGCTGAGTGCTACAGAGTGAGGTAAGCAGTGCTCTGTGGGCATAAAACAATGGTAATAATAATTAACAATAATTAAGAGCCTAATGTGTATAGTAACCCCCCTTACAGGTTCACTTTCCACAGTAACCCATGGTCATCCGTGGCCCAAAACTATTAAGTGAAAAATTCCAGATATAAGCAATTCATAAGTTTTAAATTGCACACTGTTCTGAGTATGTGATGAAATCGCACCGGCATTGGAATCATCTCTTTGTGCAGCAGGTCCACACTGTAGACCTTCCCTGCCCGTCAATGACTCATCTTGTTATCCGAGTAACTCAGTATCACAGTGCATGTGTTCAAGTAGCCCTTATTTTACTTAGTAATGCCACATCAGCATACCTTTATTACAGTATATTGTTATCAATACTCTATTTCATTATTAGTTATTGTTGTCGATCTCTCACTGCCCCTAATTTACAAATTAAATTTTATCATAGGTATGTGTGTATAGGAAAAACATGCAAGCACTCAGTACTGTCTGCCATCTCAGGCATCACCGGGGGTCTTGGGACGTATCCTGCAGATAAGGGGGGATTACTGTGTAGACACTGTTTGGTGCTTCACAGTTTTCATACTGACAAGTCTATGAGGCGGGTACTGTTGTAATCCCCGTTTTACAGATGAGGAAACTGAGGCACAGAGTGGTTAAGTATTTGTGCAAGGTCACACAGTAAGAGGTGCCGGGAATAAAACCCACAGGAGCTGGGCTGTGTAGGATGGAGGGGCTGGGAGTCAGGGGAGATGCCCTAGGGGAGTGTTTGAGCCGAGATCTGAAGGTGGAGAAGGTGCTAACTGGGAGGAGGGGGCAGGGAGAAGAGTGGGATGGAGAGAAGCAGCGAGATTGAGGAACCTAAGAGGACTGCGTGGCCAGGTGGCCAGAGCCGAGAGAGCTGGGATCCAAGCAGGCCTCAATGTGCAAGGTTTTAGCTACAGGCTAGACCAGGGTTTGTCAGCCTCAGCACTCATGGCACTTGGAGCCAGATCATCATCCCCTCCAGTGGGGTCGTCCTGTCCGTGTGGGANTGCCTCAATGTGCAAGGTTTTAGTTACAGGCTAGACCAGGGTTTGTCAGCCTCAGCACTCATGGCACTTGGAGCCAGATCATCATCCCCTCCAGTGGGGTCGTCCTGTCCGTGTGGGATGTTCAGCAGCCTCTCTGGGCTCTGCCCACTTGATGACAGTAGCGCCCAGCCTCTGAAACTGTGAAAACTTAAAACGTCTGCAGATACTGCCTCCTGGTGGGTAGTGCCCCCCCCCC